GCACCTTCCCGCCGCTTGCTGAACCCCCCCCCCCCCACCCCACCCCTGCCCCAGGCTGGGCTTCAAGAGAAGCCTTTCTGAACTCAAAAAGCTCACTTCCTCCTCTCTGTTTCTCTTGGACTGCGCATGTCATCTGATTTTGCTTTCTAACAATATTGCTTTCTAACAACATTCTAAGTACTGACTGGGTCTTCCTGCAAGCGAAGCACAACAGTTAAATACCGTTGCACAACCAGCAATTTCTGTGACTGGGGAGAGGCTGAATTGTCCCAGATACATAATTGCTGGTAGAATAACTTGGTCTTCTGAGAGAGTCAGGAATACGACGAAATATAAACTGGAGTTATCCTTGGGAAATGACTGGAAAAACCCAGCGAGGCAGGAACACCTGTGTACGGAAATCTCACCTTTTGGGTGTTCCCCTGCAGTGAGGAGGCTCAAAAATGGCTGTGTGAGGAAGCCAATTGGCTACCATGTAGGGTCGTGCGCCATCACTTCTGTCTTGCCCCCATCTGGCTATACTCAACTGCAGGCAAAGAGTCCCTCCGCTTGGCCTGCTGCTGGCTTAAAAAAGCCTTCCAAGCAGATAACCTGACTGCTCCCTTGCAAACTGACAAAGTGCTTAGTTATTGTCCAAGCAGGAAAACGACCTGATCTGAACAACTTGTTACAAAACCCGAGGGTAGCTATGCTGGCCCATGAGGAAAGAAAATCCAAGATCTACTGTTGGGGAACATCTCTGTTCGCTTCAACCATCATTTGGGAGTTTGCTAGGTCCTCACAAAGCTCTTGCCCAGTGGGTGCTTTTTAACAGCATAATTGTTAGACTCCATTCAGTGTTCTCCAAGCTCCACAGCTGAGTTAAACAACTGAAGTATCTATTTAGGCAGAAATATCCTAAGCAATGTTACTTATTTGTTCAACTGAAGGAAAACAGAAATCTTTCTTCTGAAAAATTCATCTTGATTTTAATTCAGATCAGCAGATTTATTCAGCAATATATTTCCATGAATGTTCACCTAATGGAAAAATCATGCATATCTCATGAAAATGTATAGGATATTTACTTGGAACAGCGCCAACACAAAATGAAATGAAGTGACTAAAATGCATAACAGTTGTAGACTTTTTGTTCCTGCTCCTTAGATGCAGGATTGTAAGGTATGGGGTTCGGAAAACGGCGTGCAAAGAATTTCTTGTCTTCGATACTTTCTCAAAAGCATTGCTAGTAGGATGAAAGGCCAAAGAAGGTAAAGTGTCAAAAAAAGAAAATCAGCTAAAGTTGCAAGCCTTATGCATGTTTGGAGGGGGAAAAGTTCTGCACCTCCCAGGATTTCCCAGCCAGTGTATTGCAGGATTGTACCTCAGGGCATAAAAGAAGCCCCCTCGGTATCTTGGATCCAATTTTGTGGCACGCATTTCTGACAAAGCAAACCAAGGCTGCCTTCGTTTTATGCCGAGCTCAGCAGTGACCATCAATGTCAAGCAACTGTTTCTGAAAGGGACTGAGAGGAGGATCTGCACCTTGGTCTCTGCATGCTGACTCGGGCTCTCTTGCACTGCTGCTTGTGGGCTCCGCAGCCTCTACAAAAGCAGCGGCCAACGTCCTCGCCCTGCAGGGCTCGGTCCCCGATGGCCCGGCCACCTGAACCCTCCCGATTTCAGACATGAGAAACACCCCGTCATAGACCTGATGGGAACAGTCGGTCTGATTCTGCTGAAGTTGCTCGGAGGGCTGCTGAGCCATCGCTGTGTCCCATTTCTCACAGCAAAATGACACGCGCATTTATGGGATGCTAAGGCAAGGGCGACTTAATATGTGATCCAGAAGAATGTGGAGAGGTGAATAATAAAGGACAGGGACTGTGTCAAAGAGAAGACGTGCAAAGAGACAAGCTGGTTCTCAAAACTGGTATCAAACGCTAACTGGGGTCGAGTGATGATTGCTCACCGATTCATCAGCGAAGCATATTGCAGAAGCAACACACGTGGAAAAACCTTGACATACTGATGACTATCTGGAAGCTTGAAATTTGAAAGCTTTATTCACTTTGGATTCCTGCTCTTGCCTGTTGGGACACAGACAAGCTGGAGTTGCTGGCATGCACACCATAGCAAATAACCTGGGAACCCAGCATGCCTGGGCTGCTTAGCTGCTCTTATTTACAGCATTCATAATAATCCATTTTTAAAAAAAGATTTGGGTTACTGTGCTGTGCAAACCAGGCCATTACTTCAGTGTTAATATTGTTCTAGAAACTGTATAAATGTGGCCTGATTTTGGAATGAAACTGTTTCTTTACTATCTAGAACAGCCTTCTCCATTCTGTACATCCCAGTTGTTTTGGACGTCAACTCCCATCAACTCCAGCCAGCATAGCAAATGTGGCTGAGAATGCTGCAAGTTGTAATCCAAAACCTCTGGAGGGTATCAGGTTAGGGAGGGCAAGCTCACCAAATCTGTTTACCTGACAGCTGAGCAAATCCCCTTTCTGACTAATGGGGAGATCTCTTTCTGGACGACCAAGATTTAAGCTTTTAAAGAGGAATTGTTTAGGAAATGCTTTTCTCTGATAAACTATTAAGATCTTAAAAACTTCAGCAACACATTTTGGAACACCTTTTCAGGCCTCTACAGTACTGGAAGTAAAGAGTGATGAGCAGAGATTTCCCCAAATCGTAATGATATGATATAGCAGCACCAGGGATGTAAAACTCATTTGCTTGCTTGATTTGCTTGGTCCTTAAATGTCTTTAATGACATTCAGGCACTATCTGAGAACTACTGTTCTGAAAGGTTTTTGGGTTAGTTGGCTCATAACAAATAATAGACTACATTTCTAAACTGCCCAATCATCTTAGTTCTCAGGGCAGGATACAACAAGTTTTAAAAATGTATGTACAAAATACCAGTAAAACAAGTATAATTTTAAATTATCCAACAAGCTATGTTTTTTTTTTTAGCTGCCATGCCCTCTTTTCCTGATATTATTCACGTTATAATTGTGATACCGTGACTGTTTTTTGATGATGCAGACAGGATGCCTTGGTTGCTTCAGAAAAAAGGTGAAGAATAAATATCTTTGTAAATTAACAGAAACATCAATAAAACCACCTCAGCTTCACAGCAGAGTGAACGGAGCTGTAGGGGCACTTCTTGTCAGAGGATACGGTGGGGCAATATCGAGCGTTAGGCAGTGAACGGAGCACCACTTCGTCTCACAGTCTGTATTCTTACAAACTGTGTGGTGTTCGCTCCAGCGACACCGAGTAGAAATCAGAGAGGTTCGGGTCCCGGGACCTGAATGCTGGGAAGGCCAGCTGAGCCTTTAACGTGTTATGCATTCATCTGCCACTATGCAAGGAAGCGATCACGCCGTGGCGCCCGATCCAGCATGCACCAAAGACGGAATGGGGACAGCGGGTGCCGCCAATACCTCTACCAAGGTCATTCTCAGAGCACGGACAGGTGAGGGTTCAACGTCCACCAGCTGAACGGCACTAAAACTCTGAATGTCAAAGGTTGCACAAGGACAGAACACACACACACACACACACACACACACACACACACAACACGGTTAGAACTGCAAGACAAACACGGTTAGGCAAATATGGTTAGTCAGGGAAAACTCAGCCCTTTGCCTTTTATACACCCTTGGACTTGGTATCTATTATTTGCTGGTGAAGTCAGAGATGTGAAAGTCCCTTATCTTTTGTGGAGGAAGAAGTTAAAACATAACACTTGGATTTCAAGGACAAATTTGTTTTTCTTTAACAAGGTTACCCATATTTTATCTGCAGCTTTGAAGATAGTGGGACAAGACCCTTTCTCCTTGCTAAGTATAGCTTACCAGATAGCTGCAAGAAAAGGATTTTTAAAAAAATAAACCCCACATTTAGTTTAAATTGGTACTTTCTATTTCCCAAGCATACCAGGCACAGAAAATAACTATTTTTAGACACTTAGTTAGCTATCTAGCTTAAAGTGAGAATCCTTGAATACCATATCCTTGAATTTCTGCAAATATCTGAGGAAAAATATTTGCAGAAATATTTGAAGATGAAGTACAATTAACCATTGCTCACAATTCAATGCATTTTTAGCAAACCTTTTCCAACCTCCCCTGTATTGATAAATGACTCCTGATGTAAGGTTAATAAATTACATAGCTTTACGAGGTCCCAGACCCCCAAAACAAACAAGACACTAAGTACTGCATTAACCTCATATATGGTAAACCTATCAGCCTCTTTGAATTCTGAGAGATTTGTTACCTGGTTATATATTAATTACAAGGCTGAGTTTAGGTAAAGATGGCTTCCCTACCCCACTGTAACTCTACCCAAGCATGGAAGTGAACCGATGATTCCACAAGCTCCATTCAACCCCACAAGTGCCTCAGGAGATGCTCAGATGTCCATGCAAGGGGCATCTGTGATCATGCCATCCCTCTGTGGGGCATTCGCCCTACACAACACTCCCGCGTTGGACTTCCGATCTGCACATGCACAGGACCCTACCAGCTTGACTCCGGGTTGACAAGAGGGCCTACCTGTGCTGAACATGAGGTGTCTGGGCACCTATGCAGCCCAACGTACAAACAAGAGATACAGAAGATGCACCATGAGAGGGTATGACAGCCTGGTATAATCCTGACCTTCCAACAACTGTGGGGTCTGAAGGTAGCAAAGCCCCTTTGCTATCTCTCAAAGGTTTTTCCCACGTTCCAAGGCAGGATTAGGTGCACTTGATCCAAACGGGATTAAGCTGCCCAACTCCGGGATGCACTGTAGGCCTTGGCACAACCTTATGTTCTGTGCCTTCTGAAGAGAAACTAAGAGGCAAGGGTGCAAAGGGGGCATCCTTGGATCGTGCCCACATGGAAGTCTGTACACCACAATTTCTGAGTCTAGATGGATTGTGAGACTTTCCAGGTTGTGGCCCTCACAAGAAAACAAGCTCTGGTGTTTTAATTTTTTTAAAGATATGCCCTTACTGTGTCGCTGTCACAGGGCTGGAACTGGAAGGACTGTGGTCTATGAAATACAGAATTCTCTTGTAAGAACAGCTGAAAATTGTAATCTCGCACTACCTGAAAGAGACAATACAAAAATTTATAGGTATTTTCTTCCAACAGCAAATATTATATGGAATAGAAAACTTAGTGGTGTACTTGTCAAGTGAACAAACTTACAACTGGCACAAACTGGTCTGCAGATGACCCGTGGATAGAATGCCTACTATTCTCCATATTTACTGTTCTCATATAAGAGCATCGCTCAGAAAACTTTCAAATCTGTCTGTGATCTCAGATTCCCATGCATGGTGTACTCACCAGTAGGTATTTTAATGGGTAAATACTGCAATCTGAGTTTAACCAATTTTTAAATAATACAAGCTACGGTAGAAATGAAAGAACCATTTTGGGATAAACAACATCAGCAGCCGAACATTAAACTGGGTTGAAATGAAGTACAGGAAGCTAAGAGGGTTTAGACACAAACTGAAGGGAAACTGAATCAAGCTTGGGGCATCCAAAAGTCATAGAGGGAGCAGGAGTGGATAGAGCACTATGTCGAGTGCTCTATCCACTCCTGTGCCTGGCCTATGTCGAGTGTGGGGAAAGTGCCCTGGATAACATTTTTGCAGTGCAGAAATGCATATGGGTCACTCCTTTTGTGGCCCTGCGAATTGAGTCCAGTTCCCGGACCTGACTGTGTGGTCTTGCTAGCTGGGCAGAGGGTAATTGCTACTCTCTGTCCAGACAGCAGGAGACAAAAGTATTACGTGCTGAATTTGTCTGGCACACATTGGGCGAGTGACAACGCAACAGAAACTACCACCGAAAGAAGGAAGAGAGAGAGAGAGAGAGAATCTGCGGCAAAGCCGTTCTGCATGAGACTCTAGCACAGCTGCTAAATATGGTGAGAGTCGCTGCAGCTACTCTTTCCATGTGGCTTTGCTGGAACAACTGCAGAAAATGGGGGAATGGAGCAAAAAGCAGAGCGGCTTCCTCCCACCCCAAGGCACAGCATGAAAACTGTTGCTGCCTCAAAAGCATTGGACCTTGGGAATGGAAAATTTGGCGATGCGCATTCGCTACCCTGGCTCGAGTCTGAAAATAATGGTAGATGCGTTTCACACGCTTCTCCCTTGGGAAGCCTAATGGAATAAGACTACCGGCGAACAACAAGGGAGAGTGCATGCGCATTCCTTAATCCCACGCAATGTTGGATCCAGGCAGAGCGATGTTGCAGTGAAATAATTGCAGGCTCATTCTGCAGGCCCCAGGGCAATCACGCCTTGAGGGATGCGCCGTCAGCCCAGGGATGGTGTGGTGGTGGCAAGCAATGTGGAAAAGGATGCTGCTGTGACACCCTGCCCCCATCTGTCGGGATATACGACTCCCCTCACATTCATTTATTTATATTTTTGATATCCGGCCCTTTATAGTGTCTCAGGGCGGCAACAGCATAAATAAATACGATCGAACCAGGTCCCTGGTCCAGCCAGGCTGCTCCTACTTCATCAGACTAGCAGGAGCTCTCTAATCCTGCCGGCAGACCCTCCTTCCCACTACCTGCCACTTGAGCTCCTTGAACTTACACCTGGGGCTGAACCTCAGACCGCCCACCTGCGAAGCACCCACGGCAGGTCTGCATGCAACGCACAACCAAGCGATGGCTGCCCCGCTCCTGAGGGGGACCCACGGCGTGCGCTTCCCCGCGACAGCCCCATTCCTTCCCGGTGGCTCATGCAGACCCTGGGTTGGGGGGCTATTCTGCCTTCCTGCCCAGGGCTGCCTCCAGTGGCAGGGCTCTTGCAGGGCTGCCACAGGACCCCCGTTTCTCTCATGACCACTTTGCCCGAATTCGTATTTGTTTATTGAAAAGCTTACCCGGCTGGAAGTTTCCAGAAGAAACTGGAATGTGCTTTGTACGGCTTGGCATATTTCTAATTCAGTCCTGCTGAATGCCATTAAATAATCCTTAAGGTGATCATATACATTCCCGTCAAGAACCTGCATCAAGGAAGAAGCAAAGACAAAGCATTCACTCCACAGGGAAAACACGAATGCTCCCTGCCTACACAAGCTGCACGGATCGGAGCTCAGGGCAAGCTGCGGGACGAGGCCCGGCTAAGACGGAGTCCCAAGGGCAGGCAGTGGCACTGAAGCTTCTCTGTGTTCCCACTAGCTGGAGGCAGAGAGCACCCAAAATTGAATACGGGCTGTGTGTGTTGTGACACAAGAAAAAGGAGTGCACCTAGAGCATATATTGTGGGTCTCAGGCCAAGATACCAGAATTTACTTAGAAAAACACGCTTGGCCAGCAAAAGTTATGTGGCCCTGGAAGAGATGCATGCAAGCATATACACGTACTTTCTAGCAGGTGAACGATTGCTTTACATCGTGGTTGCATTCCAAATGCTTTTACTTGGAGGAATATGAAGAACAGTTAATTACATGTACTGATATTCTCATTGTTAATTAATTGCAGTCACTTAAGTGGAGTAGGTTCTTCTTAGGTTTCTAGTACTTTATATACCCACGCATTCAACTTTAGAACAATGCCCTGTGCTCCATCACACCACCCACGAGTATTCGTCCCCTGTACTCCACAATGACTATCATTAACCATGAAATATCATTAAAAGTTATTGTCTGCCTTAAGGGTCAAATTTCATGCAATAAATGAATAGAATGCACACGTACAATCTTCCACCGTTTGGATTTTATGGTCTTCAAAATGGCCTGCTTTGAAAATCAGGGCCCTTTCCTTTAATTTCTTTTCCATAATCTAAATCCTTCTTCCCACAATTTGTTATTAATTCATCCGAGAAGGAAAAGGACACGTACAGTGTATAATTACATCTTCTTTGGTCAAAATATTAATGGCTAGAAAAGACTGTTGTGTTTACTTATTAATTTGATAGACCAAGCGCACCGACATCTTCCTCTTTCTTTACCCAAGCAAACCCGGGGGAAACGTCGCAATTTGCAGAATGCACGCTTGGGGTCAAGGCAAGGTGCTGCGGGACTTGCCACAACCCTGAGGAGCCCCTCGTTGCACCACAGGCTGCAGGCAAGCCCAGCGTAATGCGGCAGTGCCGCGGCGCGCATGCCTCGTGTCCCTGGGGCAGGGCACGTGACACACGAGCGCTGGATGCGAGGCGCACTGCACCGAGGGCCTCCGTGTGGCGACTGTCACCCTTGGAGTGGCAACGGGTGCTCCCTGCAGTCGACTGAGCTCCAATCTGACTCCGGATTAAGGTCCACCGGATCAATTCGGCTGCCGTGAGCACTCTGCTGATGCACAGTCTCGTGTCTCCTGCAATTCCATTAGTTAAGTAACGCTGATTCACTGTGCTTCCCCGTGTGCAGAGAAGAAGGGAATACCAACTCAAGCCTGGGAGTTGCTTTTCTGAGATCCACAAGCATTGCACAAAGGGAAGGCCCTTCCCTTGCTCTGAGTTCCAGCGTTCGGTGGCACACTGCCTCTGACTCTGGCAGGGCCATTTAAACACCAAGGCCAGGCTTCCCGAGCCTGGCACCCTCCAGAGGCACTGGAGCGCAACTCCCACCATCTCCAGTTAGCATGACCATTGCTTACTGGGAATGATGGGGGTTGCACCCTCACACATCCAGAGGGTGCCAGGTTGGGTAAGGCTGTTCAAGATTGAGAGCGGTTGCGGGAGAGCTGGCCTGGCTCTTGAGCTGGAGTCCCGGTCTCCGTTCTCCAAAATGCTGCAGCTTCTGCCACTTTGCAGTACCGAAATGACAATCGTCTAGCCCAGCAGACAGGACTAGGGGTATGACAAATGGAAGTGGACACCCTGCTATTTCCAGCTGTGTAGAAATGCAGGGAATGTCTCACACAGAACTAGCTGGTGGCTTTCTCATTTCAAGTCTTGTACTCAGAAATGGTAGCTCCAATTCAGGGCAAAGTGGCCATCAACCCATTCCTGGATCATGCAGGGAAGCGGCAAAACGGGAAAATATTAAGGCCGATGGTTGGTGAACAGGCAAAATTACTTCTTCGATCATAGTTTGCTGCAATAAAGCAAGGACTCAGAGTTTTAGTTTATGGCAACTGCACACAAGAGATATGAAGCGAGTGTACAGGCGTGTCAAGAAGCCCTTCAGTAGTGAAATAAATGGACTCGGTCAGTGCAGTTCTAAGTACCACTCAGAAAAGAAAAATGTACCAATATGTGAATAGGTATAATTAGATATACCACACTTCCCTCAGCGCTTTATGGCTGATTTGAGGCGGCTACAAACAAAGCTTTAAAAAGGCAGAGAGGCGGCTGTTAGGAAATAGCCATTGGTCACGAGGGCACATGTGTGCGCTTCCTGCACCTGTGCTTCAGAAAAGCTGCCGCTCCCAAGGGTTTCCCCTGCAGCTCAGACCAGGGGGAGGATTGGCGTTACCATGCACCCCCAAATGTATTTTCCACTCACACATGAAGGGGAGCCATTTCCTTAGATAGACAAACAGGCAGACACTTAGAGATGCAACTGAACAACATGAAGCTCATTTGCCACATTTGCTGTTTTAATAAAGAAGCCTAAATTAGTTTAGGTAAGGGACCATTTTATATACAAATAACGGAACCAGTTTAACACTTGCAAAAAGAAGAGGTTTACTTGAATCCTTCCCCCTGTCTCCCACCCCCTCAAATTTGTTCTTGAATGGCCACCTGCTCTCAAACCATTTTTGATCTGCAGACTCAGTTAAGGAAAGATGAAGAGCCTCAACGACTATATAAAGTACGCCAACTGCCCACTTCCGAAATGTGAAACAGAACCTATCAATAGTTTCAGGTTTATAAAAGTCACACTGAAGTACTTTCAGGAAGTGTGATTAATGGCATCACGAGAAGTCATTTGTTTAATGGCTGGCCAAATTTGTACTCCAGTTAAAATTGTTCCGGTCTATTACTATTTTCAAAATTCTTTTGAATGTGCTTTTAGTCTTGCCCAGTTCCTGCTGGAATTCACCAAGATCATAACAATGGCCTATTTTGCAAAGACAGGCAACACAGAACGCATTAGCTGCAGGCAGCCCAAAATGGGGGGAAATCCAGGGGAAATGAAGGCATCTGTCGCAACTACAAAGCACCCAAAAGCCCAACATTAGCTTGTCTGCAAGATCATGTGGACACTTTAAGCACTGCTTCGCCACTATGGCGCACCAAAGGGGTAAAATGAGCTTACAACCAAATGAACTGTGATTCTTTTGCCAGTGCTGATGCCATTTCTTTAAAGAAACGGTGCTGCAGGGGTACACAGACTTCAGGTGAGGATCCAAGCAGCAAAAATGGCCCCAGACTTCCTTTATCAGAATGCACAAGAATTGCAGAAACAAAATATACCACGGCATGTGAAACGGACAGCCTTACTTCTCATACGAAAACCTGCTTGGCTTACCAGTGATGTCTAGCGCAACCACCAAAACAGCAGTTGCTGCTTTGGCTCAGAGGCACCCCACTCGTCAAATGCTGGACAACACAAATGGGTCAATTCAAAGCATGAATCCAGCACATTGGCTGCTCCTGTAGCCACAGCTCAAAGCTCAGGAGTGGCTGCTTTGATTTCCAAAGTGTTCATCTCACTTAGCAATGCAATAATGCGATCTAATAATAGCAAGAAATAGTCACAGCACATTTCAGTGCATTAGAATCCATTATGCGGGGAAAGAACGGATAGTAAGTCTCTCTTGGAGAGCTTCCATTCCTCGGCCGATACAGCGACACAAACCTACAGCGACTAGGCCAGGTGCCTTTGGTGAGGTTCATGACTGAGCAAAGTCTCTCGAGGGCAAGCTTGGTGTGCTTTCTGAAAATCTAAAATGGCACTACGGCCACTTATTAAAAACATGCAAATGTGCCACATGCCCAAGGAGAAAGCAAGCGCTTTATGAAGTATCTTGCCAACTATATTACTCTTCACTAGAAGACAACGCACACCACAGACGTAGAACATTGCAATGCAAATTTACTCCGGGTTTCTTAGCCTGACAACACTTAAATGACATTTAACAGTTCAACTGCATTCCTATTTTAGATCAGGGGTCAAACAATGAAAATGCTAGTAAAGGCTTTAAATCACATAACATTTTCACAGCTGTAGGGAAAATACGGCTGATGTAAGTGGCTAGGAATTTCCTTATAAGTGGTGGAAATGAACAAAATTAGGGTCGGTCTAATGAACCTTATCCAATCATTTTCTGAAATCGAGTGAATTCAGAGGAAACAACGGCTTAAGGAAAGCTAAACAAAGCTTGCCAAGTGAACGCATCACAATGCCATTTTAGCACGATGGCATAAAAACATTTCCTGTTTACGCTGCCCTTAGTCCCTGTACCACATATGCACAGCTGACGCGAATGCATATTCTTCCCAACTACTCAGCTTCCTTCCTTTTTCACTGTTGTCTTCACTGTGCAGAATTTTAGACAAAAAAGTCCTTGGTGCATGGATTTTGTACAGCACCATTCACAAGGATGCCACTGCATAATTAATTACAAGACTAAATAAGGCTGTTTCCATATTGCAGATGCCCAGCATATTTTCCTCTTTCGAAAGGTCCCACTAAACGTCAGTGGGTTCCACCTTATTCCGATTACCTTCTCTTAAAAGCACACATAATATACAGGAATGCAACACTGCTTTACAAAACATGTGCTACACGCTTTTCTTATTTTTTAAAATGTTTGTCCAAGCGTCCACCTGCAGTGCCTGATCCTGGAAGCTAATCTTGGAAGATAAGCAGGGTCAGGCCTGGTTGAAATCTGGATGGGTAACTTAATGTTGTGAAGCACCCAGAGAGCTTCGGCTATGAGCAGGATAGAAATGTAATGAAAATGCAATGAATAACAACATCATCATCATCATCCAGGGATTGTTTCAGGGTTAGACAACCTTCTAACAACCCAATAAACAGACCATGGGTTACGTGAGAGATATCTATCCCTCAAGCAGCCCCTGCCGACTTGCAAGCTGGACGCAACACAACAG